AAAAAGAGGGAAAAACATTAATCTAGTATCCCCGAAAAATATTTTAAAAAATGTGGGGGCCAAGCCCGGAAAAATCCAACAAACAAGAGGATCATTTTCCTACTCAGTGCAGACGGTGATTTTTTTTCCTTGCAATTTATTTTTCGGAATATGTGGACGATCTAATAAATTTCTTTTTAAAAAGTTACAAAAATCCTCGTAACAGACTTCATAAACCCTTCGCAGGTTGCTCAGATAAGCATTCAAACTGTGAACAGTGGGCAACTTCAGGGGAATGCAGAACCAATCCGGACTGGATGCTGGTTAACTGTCAAGAAAGCTGCGGGCTTTGTTGTGAGTTTAACATAACCAAAATTAGATGTATCTTCTTAAATGTGGCTATGTTGACTAAAACCTCTCCTTGTAGCCTACATTTTATAATGTTCTTCTTCGGGTTGGGGTACAGTGTCTTTACCACCGTTATAATTCAGCTGTTATAACTCACATGACGTAGCTTTATGGCAGGTCGTGGATAAACTACTTAGTGATATTTTACCTTTAAATTTTCCCTAGAGATTAAGAATCAAGTGGGCGTAAATTGATTTAAAGTTTTTTTGATTTCTTATCGTCGAACTGCCAAGGGCGAAGATGAAATGAGGGCTCAATTGACAGTTAACTCGAGAAACGAGCGTTTTTGCTATTTAAACATGTGATGGGCTTGCAAACCACCATTTCCACTGAATATAATCATCTCGTATCATAATTAATTTCGCATGGTTTGTTTTTTATCTTCCTCTTTTTATTAGATGACGAGGACCTCGGTGATGCCTCAGCGATACCACCGATGGTGTTTATTGGTTCTGAAGACCACTTCATGTATGCACTCGGCGCAGCTAGCGGAACTGTCATCTGGAAATTCCGAACTCTTGGCAAGATCATGTCGTCTGCATCGCTCAGCCAGGACGAGGAGATCGTTTACTTCGGCTCCGTGGATGGTAAGGTGTACGCACTTGGTGCAGCCAATGGTTCAGTCGTTTGGACTCTAGTAACACGAGGTGCTGTTGTGGCCAGCCCAACTGTAAGTGTGAATGGAACTGTCTTCATCGGTTCACAGGATAAGGTTGTTTATGCTTTAGATGGTAGAAATGGATCTGTTGTTTGGAAGACAGATCTTGGCTGCCCAATTTGGGGTGCTGTCGCTCTGGACAACCAAAGAGGACTGCTATTCGTTGGCTGTACCACGGATAAGTCGAACGCAACGGATTCTCAAGACACACCTCATATTTTCGCCCTCGATGCCAACTTGGGAAAAATCGTGTGGACTTTTGACGGTGCTGGAAGCGTTTATGGCTCTCCAACACTTCTACCTGGTGGCCAAACCGTATTCTTTGCTTCCCTAGACCATAATATCTACGCTTTAGACCGCGAAACTGGTAAACTGTATTGGTCGTATGACACGGGGTCCGAAATAGAGTCCTCTCCAGTGGTCAGTAGGTTGGACGGTACCCTATACGTTGGCTTGATTAAGGGTCAACTGATTGCTGTTAACTCCGTAAGCGGTCCTTTGGCGGGAAAATTGAAGTGGACAGTGAATACTGGCGGGGAGGTTGTGTCATCGCCTGTCATCACTGAGGACGGAAGGGTGAGTGAAGTTTGTCGCTGCCTACCAACTCTTTCAATTAGATTGGATCAAAGTTCATATAACAAGGCTTTCTAAAGTGCGGGAAAACGCTAGGGACCAACTAACGACTAGCTAGAGCTTTGTATGTGATTGGTTTAACAAGTAGCACTACGCACGGAGATGTCAAATGATTACAGTCCAGATCACGTAAGAAACCTAATTGAAAACTGCCTCCAACACCGAATTCCTTGCCTACTTTTCTAGTTAACAGACCTGTAGAATTAGCGAGATACAATTCGAAATGACATGTAGAGCCTCGTTGTTCTAATCTGTGCAATTCTGTCATCTAAAACCACAGGTTTTTGTAGGATCTGGCGATGGGCGCATCTTGGCACTCAACCAAACTGACGGTTCACATATATGGTCTCCAACAACAGGTGACTACATCGTGGCGTCGGTGGCTGTTTCACGCGATAACGCCGTATACGCCGCTAGCTCGGATAAATTTGTTTACGCTCTACACGGTGATGATGGCTCTGTCATTTGGAAGTTTGAAACTGGCGCTGCTGTTGTTGCGACTCCAGCTCTTTTTCCAGAACAAGTTATGCCGATTGGATAAACTAAATGAAACATTGATCTGTTAATTTAAATAGATAGAACTTTAAAACAGTTTTTTGAAGGCAGGAAAACTAAAGCTTTAGTTAACAATAGAGTGGCCAGAGTACGAGAAAGAAGCTCAGCAACCAATAAAAATTCGTAAAAATGTACACGTGATCGTCGCTAAACGCGGGAAATCAAACGCGTGCGACCAAGTTGTGAGTTGCTCATTTGTTTTTTCTCTAACTGATACATTTGTCGCAAATCTTGAAGTCTTGAGTTTTTTTGTTTTGTTTTGTTTTGTTTTTCATTTTGTTTGTTTGTAATGCCATTATTTTTTGAAAACAATGAAGTATAATTATTTATATACGAATATAATATATGAAAGAATCTTTTCAGTAACTTTTCTGTTGTAATGAAAAACCAACAGCAGTAAGCAGTTATAGGAATTACATTAAAAGGAACAATTTTACTTTATCTTGCTTCATAACGCGATCTTGCTGTATTTCATTTACGTTTTCAAAATAACTGACATAGAATCAGAGAATCTGAAACGTTTTTGCAAGACGAAGAGCTCTCAACAATGACAGTCGAAATACATGGTATCTTTTCTTTATTACGTAGCTGACAGCACCCGTGGGCAATATGTAGCCGGAATCCTGCATGTGTTCCGATCGGCTACTTGAGCAGCCAACATGAGCCCATCTTGCCCGCTCGGGATTGCGTGCTTTGATCCAACGTAAGAAAAAAAGTGCGTGGTGCAAACTTTCAAAAATCGGACATGTCGGCGATGAAACTGCAAAAGCGGCAGAAGAAAGTTAAAACAAAGGGAACATAAACGAATCTCGCGGATGTATTGTGCCACAAACACATTTGGCTTTCTTTCCCAGCTCTTGAAATGAACAAGTTAATATTGATTCTTATTGAAAGCGAGATATTTTTACTATTTTATTGGCCAAACATGTTCGGTCAGGATGACTGAATATTAGCCTTGTTCTTTTTTCGCCTTTTATGGACCTCGACTTCGTCTCTGTTCATAAAAAAAGCAAAAAAATAAAAAAAGAACTCGGTCAATATCCAGCCTCATTGACCCCACGCTTTATCAGTAACGTATATGAATCTGGCTTTGTTTTCATTCCAGTTAAGACTGTTGGTAATGACGTCAATACTTCACTGGTTGGCGTTCATGAACTTCAATACTGATCGAGGATTTTTTATTTTGGTGCAAATGATAAAGCTCTATATAATTATCTAAGATTTATTTCCTTTCTTTGCAGGGTCATAATACTTCTGAGATCATATTTCTCGACGCGACAAAACACTAATTTTCGAAAATATTATACAAGGTTCATACAAACTGTTTAAAAACTCAATTAAATTTGTTCTAAAACATTCTTGGAAGAAAATAAAGCAAGATAGTCACATAGCATGTTTGCCCACGTCATCGAAGAAGGATTGTGTTACATCGAAAATTTACTCCTAACTTCTCATTGGGAAAATTCCGTCCAAAAATTATTTAACTTGAATCCAATACTAGATCAGCCCATGAGGAAACTGAAATACTTTTCAGTCAAGTGTTATTTTAAATTTAGCGGAGTTATAATAGTTTACCAAACCCACGTGCTAATACTTGTGATCAGTTGCTATGAAAGAGCTTGTTACCCATTCGTTGATGAGGTGCCAAGTGCTGTTTCATTTTCACAATACTGCATATTTAATTTTTCATATTTTTTGTCTTCATTTTCTTTCAGCTGTAGTTTGTTGACGCAAGTATGTAGAAAATAGGCTATTTTTGTTTACCTTCCTCGTTCAAGATATTTGCTGATACTTAAAATAAGACAGCGTTGCTCAATTCTGTTGAACACTTTCTTAGAAACTTCGCTTAGCAAAATCGAGGAACGCTATCGACCTGTAAGCGAAATTCTAATTTGTTTAACTTCTACCAATTAAAGAAACCAAAATAGCCAGAGGGGATAATTTATAAAAATTTATGTCTCCAATTTACAAACAAAAGAAGTATTAATACATGCTGCGTGAAAAAAAACGGAATTTCTAGGGCTAAAAAAGATGACAATTAAATTTAAAGAAAAGAGACAATCAATTCCTAGAGAGAAATTCTTTAGGAGCACTTTTTGTTTGATTGTCCGGCTTAAAGCCTGAAATAAAGGCTTCACACTGGACACGTTTTCTCGCTTTCATTTTATTACACGGTCGATTTTTTTTTATCCTTGTTGCTCTTACTAAATCGTTATGGGTTCCTGTAGTTACGTAAAAGCGCTCTTTACATTTATGTAATTGCCTCATTTTTTAACGTAGCGAGGAAATCACCCACATATCTCAGGATATGAATTTGTCTCCTTTTTCATATGATCTGAATTTTTCAAAATTGAAATGAATTATACTACGCAAGATATCATACTATTGAAGTACTCTTTTCACTTAAATAATACGTCTGACGTTACCATGTGACAAGTTGTGTTAATTTGATTTCCCTTTTGAGAAAATGATCTATGTCTCGCCCCGGGCTTGAGAATGCCTGTTGCTTTTCACTTAAGCGAGTTAACTTTGTTATCACGTGGTTTCCATCGATTTTTAATTTTGTCCCAGAAGAAATCCTATATAAGATCACATAATCAATCCAGAATTTGCCGTCCTTTGAGCGACACAGTCCTATCTGGTTTCGGATTTTGTCAGTTTATTTGTTTTGACTGACGTGGACCGCCCCTCCCTACGAAGCGTGACTTTCTGTTTTAAGAAGTTTATCAAATTAGCGAGTGGACATGTAAATTTCATTTCCGGCAGCCAAAACAGTGACAGCTGATCGTACATCTCCGGTCAAAGATCTTGCTTACACTTCTCCATCCTCTAACCTTGTTATAAATAGGTCTAATAAGCACTCTGAGGACGAAAAGGCAACATTCTCGCCACAGTGATGTCTTTAATCGGGTTATATCCGTGTTCGAATATTTCTGCTCCAACAGCATTGAGCATTACATCTGCGACGTTCTGCTCCCTACTCGCCGTTACAGCTGTCACAGGCAATGTCCTGATACTCCTTGCCGTAATTATCGACCCAAATCGCAATCTACGATCACCATTTAACTTCTTGGTGGCTAATTTAGCGGCAGCAGATCTGATTGTCGGTTGTGTTGCGCTTCCAATGTCAGTGGAATTCTACATTCGCGAATCGCTAACCGAAAAGATAACTCTCCTTCCGAGAGATGATGTTCGGCGAGTCAGCTCCTTCATCTCTACGACGGCGTCATTGTTTAGCTTAGCCGCTTTGACTGTGGACAGATTTATTGCGATTACAGATCCGTTGAAATACAAGATAAAACTGACTACAAAGCGAGCTGCCATTATTTCGTTTGTACTTTGGATCGTGTCAATTGGCTTTCCATTTCTTTACTTTAAAGTCGGTTACTTGAAATATCAATTTGTCTTCGCAAATACAGCGGTAGTGGCTACGTTCTCTGTCATGTGCCTCACCTATACGAAGGTTTTCAAAAGCTTTAAAAAACAAGTGAAGAACTGGGACAGTTTACACCATGGTCGTGACAGTGACAATCACCTGAAAATGAGAGCCATAAAGTGGGAGAAGAAAATCACAAAAACTTTTATTATCATGCTGGCGCTGTTTATCAGCTGTTTTCTCCCGTCATTGCTACTTATCTACGTGATAAGCTTCTGCGGAAGTTGTAACTGCATATTTATTCACTGGGCAAGAGATTTAAATTATATTTTAATCATGGCCAATTCAAGCATGAATCCTTTCGTCTTTGCGTGGCGTCTCCAACCGTATCGCAAGGCTTTCTCAAAGATTCTAACCTCTGGAAAAGTCGTCACAAAACTGCGTTCGGTTTCTCTGCAGATGAGCCAGTCAATGAACTCGCTATCGTTAGGTCCTACAGTTTCAGGAACTTACACCACAAATACAACTTCGAGTGACAGTCCATTGTAACTCAGCTGTTTTTCTTTTCTCTTCTTTTTTTATTTAGCTCTCCTATTTGCAATAGATACATTGTCAGTTTCCTAAGGTCAAAAATGTTACGTCTGAGATGTAACAACGCATCTAATTGTCACAGATAATAGACACAAACTGACGATAGTATTTTTCACTTTCAAGTTTCTTCAAATTCGAAGATAATTACAAATATTTAAAACTGGTCACCAATACTGTAAAATTGGCAAGCTAACTTTCTAGCATGTAATATCGATATTAGCAATTGTGATATTTCGGGAATGATTGCCGCCTATGTAAACAATTCCTAAAAAAATCCAAGCTTGTTTTGTTTTGATTTTTTTTTTTCGCCTCGCCAAAATACTTTTCCCAAATCTACTGAAAAAAAAAAGAAACCGTAAAAATCTGTTGAAGGTATGGTAGAAATATTTTTGTTTGTATGTAGGGTCATTGCTATCGAAAAACATGCTGGCTCCACGTACTTTTTTTTTTTATTAACAGCATTCATGTTGCCTCGCTATTTACATTCATTATTTATTCAGGGCACTGCGCACTGTTTGTTTCGATATTAGCTATTGAATACGGTATTCCGTTGAAACGAATGGGTATTGGAGACCATAATGGTGTTTGAACTAGCTGCATAACAGAGGTTATTTATGATTGGGTCTTTTAACTTCGGGGAAATTACAGTTGACAACCTTTCAACTTGTAAAACATGGAACAATGAGCCAGTTGTGTTTCCCTTTCAGTATATTAAAAGTCTATACAAGCTTGGGATCTTAAAGGCTACCGTCAGTA